GTCCTCATCGTTCTCTTCATCATAATAAACTTCAACGATGTCATCACGTCCTTGTGAGTTTGATTATTTTTGATGATTAAACCACAGCAAGTTGATAGGCGGATTAAGATTTTTATGAAAGTCTTGGCTATTGTTAATATTCCTTTTTAGTGATTCAACATTTAAATCTTAATTCAAATTATCTTGTATGATTTCTTCTTGTTATAGATAATCTTACTTGGAATCTGGATGAAGGCTTTAAATGTCATTTGAGAAATTTTAACAACTAGCTTAAAGTTTTTCCATATCTTTGAATTAATTTAAGTCTGCTTATGGTTCTCTTGAATCTTACGGTTGCGATTCATAGTCTGCATGTATCTCCTTTAAATTGTTTTCACCATCCCTCGGTACATTGAAGCGCGATTTATACCCTCCATTGTTTTAACTTTAGGGGTATCTTGCTGCGCGTTCATATAGCTCAAAATTTTTCAATCTGTTATTAGTGACATGCTTTTTTGAAAAGATTTAGAAAGACTGTCGCTACCCTTATCGCTAGTAGCCTGATTGTCCTTACTTTTTATAATGGTTATTTTGATTATGAGGTAATCGTCTGTGTTTAGGTTGATTTTCTTATCCCTTACTTGTCTTCTTGGTAATAAGCTAAAATTATCTTAAATTTTCCCGTTAATGGTATTCTTATTTTTCATTCTGTTTTACTTTTATCCTTGGCTATTTTCTTGAGAAATTCTCCATTATTAAGTTATTATTTAATATTGAGATAGATAGGCATTTTTAACCACTTTGTTAGCTAGTGCTTGATTACTGACTATGAGATTTGTTCATGTTTTGGTGATTTATCTATGTTTTAATGTATGGAGATGGTTACGTCGTCATTGACATTTGATAAAGAAAATAATTAATATGTTTATAATATTTAAACTTATATAATAGCAAAAATCATAATATCATCATCATAAATTTAAATTATTCAAAATCACTGAAACTAGTTAATTTAATAGATCGGGGTTTTGGGGTTTTGGGG